GTCATAAGAGTCATCTTAGTTGTACCCACTACCACTTTGCTCAAATTGATCCTGATTGTGTTGAACTTGTTGACCTATTTGTCTCCTCTTGTTAACCATCACATTCACTCCTTCCATTTTATTTACTTGCTTTTGCCCCTGAACCTGCTGAAGTTGTGCCTTGGCTAACTGATTCATGGTAGTTGTCAACTCTGCTATGGCTTGTCCGTGATCATGAAGTTCCTTGTGAAGGTGGATAATATTAGGGTCACCCTGAGGAACGTTGGCCCGACTTTGCCAAGCTGAAGAGGTGTCCGCCATCTCATCTAATATTTCACATGCTTCTGAATATGGCATGTTCATGAAGTTACCCCATGCGAGCTGATTCACCACACACTAGTTAGTTGTGTTGATACCCCTATAAAGGTTTGCTAGATCATTGCTTCAGTCATATCATTATTGGGGCATTCTTTGACCATTGTCTGGTACCGTTCCCAAATCTCATGTAATGGTTCATTTGGCTCTTGTTTAAAAGCAAGGATTTCATCTCTCACTATTGCCATATGTCCCGAAGAAAAGAACTTCGCTATGACCTTCTCGGCCAACTCATCCCAAGTAGATATGGAATGGTTGGGTAGCCTCTCAAGCCAATCTAAAGCCTTCCCTCTAAGTGAGAAAGGGAAAAACCTTAACCTCAAAGCGTCCTTAGATACATTCGTCTGCTTGCACCCCCAGTATGTGACTACAAAACCTTTGAGATGCTTATATGCGTTCTGATATGGAGCTCCGGTGAAGAAACCCCTTTGTTACAAGAGAGTAAGCATGACATTGGTTATTTGAAAATTGCCCGCCTGAATCCGGGGCGGGACAATTGCACTTGCGTAGCCTTCATTGGTCCCTTGGAGGAGGTGGGGGAGGGTTTAGAACGTTGTCATGAGGCAGGCGGCCTCTTCTTTGGACTTGAGGTTCAAGATGAACCTCATCCACTTCATTTTTATCTACCTCCTCCCCCTGAGGAATATGTCCAAGGACCTCGTTAAGAGCCATTTGGTACCTAAAAGCAATTGACACACAAAAATTAGAAAAACGGAAGGAAAGAAAAACAAAACACACAAATAGTTAGATATATATCTAAGACCGTCTAACTCCCCGGCAACGGCGCCAAAAATTGATCGGGTCCAAGCATGCACTACTATTGAGTAGCGAGAATGGTCGATGTAGTTTTACCCAACAAGGTCGGGATCGAATCCACATGGAGTTAATTGATTTGGAATTAGGTTTATATTTAAGTCTAGATGCGTGTTTTGTTCCTAATTACGCTTCCACACATTTTGGTTTTGATTCAACTTCTAATTCTATTCTATTGTATGCAATGATTAAAGCTAAGTACAATATTTTTTATGTTGGTTTTCAAGTGTTTAAAAGGACTAGGGTAGTGACTTCCGCCTGGGTGGACATCTAACAGGTATCAAGAATCTAGGGCAAGCTTGATTAATTTGGGGTTGTGATATATCTATCTCACCCAAGTACTCACTCTATACATCTCGATAGTTTGAGTGATTTTGCCCAATTTGGCTTTCTCAAGATCAAATGGGTATTCATGCAAGTCATATGATATTAGCTCAAGTCGGGTATTACTATCTCTAGGATTAATCCTTTTATTGGGGCTATCAATTTCTTGAGTTCACCCCAATTCCTTATTAGCCTAGTTTTCCTAGACTTAGTCCCTCTTTCTCAAGAAGAGACTAAGTCATAAAGGCCTGAATCAGTGTTTGCAACCACTAATTCTACAATTCTAGGCTAAATATCACTAACCCATAAACATTCAAGCCCTAAAATTCAGTACCCATTAAATACCCACCCTAGGGTTGGGTCACAACCTTAGCTATGGGTCTAGCTACTCAGAGAAATAGCAGAAATCAAAGATGAAAATAAGATAAAATTCATAATACTAGATTGAAAGATAAAAATCTATTGTTAAAAGGTGAATCTAATACAAAATTGCCCAAAAGGGAAGTTCTAGATGTCTCACGTGCTCAGCAAATACACAACATAACCTAAAAATGATAAAAAGTTCTATATATACTAAGCTAAACTTTTCGGACAAATATACCCCTGTGGAGGTTACGCAACCGCGTAATTCTGACCGTGACCGCACTCCTGCTTTAGCGGCCGCGTAATTCTAATTGCGGTCTGCGTCCTTCACTTCTGGATTTGGGTTTCGCGGACCACGTAATTTCCATCGCGGTCACGTTGGAGACTTCCGCGGCCACATAATCTTGACGCGGACCGCACTTCTTATTTTTGCTTAAAATATAAGCTCTCTGAACTTCAGCAACCGCGGTTTGCGTAATTCCAATCACGGCCGCGCAGGGACTTTCGCGGCCGCACCTTTTTGACGCGGTCCGCGTTTATGTTTTAGCCCAAAAATCCATTTTTTTATATCTTCCTTTCGTGAAACTCGAAATAGTGCTCGCGACTGCGTTGTAGCTTTCGCGGCCGTACAATATTTGTGCGGTCCGCGTTTCACATCTTTTGGCCCAGTATTGGTTTTTGTTTAAGTTTTGACTCCTTTATGAGTTGATTATGACTCTTTTGGCTCATTTTATACAATCCTTATGAGCAAGCATATTACATTAGTTTTCGGAAATACCTTCGCGCATTTTTGGCCCTAAACACAAGTAAAAGAGAGCAAATAACAAGTTAACATCCCTACTTATCAACTACGAAGGTGAAGTCGAGAAGAAGATAATTGTAGCCCAAAATCATTTTCAGAATGTGGCACTCCCTACAAAGCGAACAGATGAAGGTTTTGATCCTAATTCTTACAAGCTATTTGCAAAAGCTGGATATAATCCCAATAAGCCGTCAAAGTTAGGGAAGCTCCCATCAGAAGATGCGACGAGGCAACCACGTGAAGGTTTGGGATACAAGCAACCGTCACCAGTGCGCATATCCATAAGAAGGGCGAGCAGTAATTATATCACTGTAAAAGACTAATCTACCATTTCTAACAGGCCTTCAGTCTTTGATCGACTTGGAAAATCAACTGTGAGAACTTCTGTATTTGAGAGATTGAGTCCATTAAATAAGGGGAATAAGTTCCATAGAAATTATCGAAATACAAAAACAACCGCTTTTCCCAAAATTCAGAAGATCTCTAAAGATTTCCAAAGTTTGGTTCCTTCTAGAATGAAGTGATAAACAAAAGTCATGGTTTCGTGTGATGAGGTACTAAAGGTGAAGCCATACACTGTGGTCTACACTAAAGAACATGATGAAGACAAAGAAAGTGTGGGTTCTTCGTATCATGTTACTGCACAAGGTGAGCATGGTGTTTTATCTCTAATGGAGGATGACGAGAAATTGGACGATGTTTCACCGTGTTATCACATATCCTTCAACGATGGGGACCCTCAAGAAGATGAAGATGAGAAAGATTCTCCCCCGGAACTTGAAGAAGGGGTGAAGGTAATGATTGATACCTTAAAAGAAGTTAACCTTGGCACTGATGAAGAACCAAGACCCATATACCTAAGTGTTTTACTAGAAATTGATGAAAGAAGCACTTATATTGAGTTACTCAAGGAGTTTAGTGATGTCTTTGCTTGGAGTTACAAAGAAATGTCTGGCTTGGACCCTAAAGTAGTAGTCCATCACCTTGCGGTCAAGAATAGCGCTCGTCCTATTAAGCAAACTCAAAGGCGCTTTAGGCCGGACTTGGTTCCCCTGATTGAAACCGAAGTAAACAAACTCATTGAAGTTGGATTTATTCGGGAGGTTAAATACCCAATGTGGGTTTCAAGTATTGTCCATGTAAGGAAGAAGAATGGCCAGATTCGAGTGTGCCTCAACTTCAGGGATCTCAACAATGCGTGTCCCAAAGATGAATTCCTGCTTCCTATTCCAGAGCTGATGATCGATGCTACTACTGGGTATGAGGCAATGTCATTTATGGATGATTCGTCAGGCTATAACCAAATTCACATGGCACCAAAAGATGAAGAGCGTTTTGCATTTCGCACCCCCAAGGGGATTTATTACTACAGGGCAATGCCTTTTGGCTTGAAGAATGCTGGTTCTACTTATCAAAGGGCTATGCAGAATATTTTTGACGACCTTCTCCATAAAAATGTCGAATGCTATGTGGACGACTTGGTGGTAAAATCAAGAAAGAGGGGCGACCACTTGAAAGACTTGAGAATGGTGTTTGAATTGCTCCGGAGGTACCAACTTAGGATGAATCCATTGAAATGCGCCTTTGGAGTTACTTCTGGAAGGTTCCTTGGTTCATTGTCCGACTTCGAGGGATAGAAATTGATCAAGCCGTAGTAGATGCAATCTTGAAAATGCCTGAACCTCAGGATATTCACGAATTGAAAAGTCTGCAAGGAAAGTTAGTGTACCTTAGGAGATTCATCTCAAACCTAGCTGGAAGGTGCCAACCATTCAATCGCCTTATGAAGAAAAGTGTCCCTTTCAAATGGGACCAAGCGTGTAGCAATGCCTTTGAGAGCATTAAATCCTACTTGATGAAGCCTCCTATTTTAGCAGCCCCTATACTTGGAAAGCCGTTGATATTATGTATTTCAGCACAAGAAAGGTCTGTTGGAGCGCTATTGGCCCAAGAAAATGGTGAGGGGAAAGAAAACTCTCTTTACTACTTGAGCAGGATGATGACATCAAACGAGATGAATTATTCGCCGATTGAAAAGTTGTGTTTAGCGCTAGTCTTCTCAATTCAAAAGTTGAAGCACTACTTTCAAGCTCATGTTATTCGTCTTGTTTCTAAAGCAAATCCCATCAAGTTCGTGATGTCAAAACCTGTTCTTAGTGATCGACTAGCGAGATAGTATCTCCAATTTCAAAAATTTGAGATTTTGTACATCCCTCAAAAAGATGTAAAAGGATAAGCATTGGCAGACTTCTTGGTAGATCACCCTATACCTGATGATTGGGAGCTAAATGATGAACTGCCTAATGAGGACGCAATGGTCATTGAAGTTCAACCTCCATGGAAGATGTATTTTGATGGTGCTGCACATCGCGGAGGAGCTGGTGCTGTTGTAGTATTTATCACTTCTCAAGGTGAAGTTCTACCCTACTCTTTTACGTTGATGCAACTCTGCTCTAACAACGTTGTTGAGTATCAAGCACCAATACTTGGGCTTGAAATGGCTGTACAAATAAAGCGATTGCAATTGCAAGTCTTTGGTGACTCTCAGTTGGTGATCAACCAGATTTTAGGTAATTACGAGGTTAAGAAACCTGAACTACGCCCATATCATGATTATGCTAAAAAATTAATAGGTTGGGTTGGTGACGTGACTATTCAACATATGCCAAGGAAAGAAAACAAGAAGACTGATCCTTTAACTGCCCTAGCTTCATCGTTAACCTTGCCTGACCAAGCGCAAGTTACTGTCTGCCAAAAATGGGTAGTACCGCCACCAAATGAGGTTGAATGTGAAGGAAATGAACTCAAGTATCTTGTCGATATTTTTGAAGATGAGAAAGAAGAATGGCGACAACCCATTATCAACTACTTAAGCTATGGGATACTTCCAGAAAATCCGAGGAGAAGGACTGAAATTCGTCGTCGTGCACCTCGCTTCCTTTACTACAAAGATACTCTATACAGAAGGTCATTCGAGGGAGTACTCTTGTGATTCTTAGGGGAAGAAGAAGCACTCCAAGCTTTGAAAGAGGCACATTCTGGGTATGTGGGTCACACCAGTCTGGACCAAAGCTCCACTTCCATATAAAAAGGATGAGATATTATTGGCCAACGTGGTAAAAGATTGCTTGGACTATGCTCGAAGATGAAAGGCTTGTCAATTCCATGCGAATTTTATTCATCAACCTCCTAAAGTGTTGCACCCGACTGTGGCATCCTGGCCGTTTGACGCTTGGGGATTGGATATTGTTGGACCACTGCCAAATTCCTCTGGTGGGCACCTATACATCTTGGCTACAACTAACTACTTCTCAAAATGGGCTGAAGTTGTTGCTTTTAAGGAGGTAAAGAAGAAAAATGTTGCAAGTTTCATCCGAGTAAACATAATCTATCGCTTTGCCATTTCTCGTTACATAATAACGGATAATAGAAAGCCATTCTATAACCGGTTGATGAACAAGATTTGTGATCTCTTTGGCTTGAAGCAACGTAACTCTTCGATGTACAATGCTGCCGCCAATGGTCTAGCTAAGGCATTCAACATAACTCTATGCAACTTGTTAAAGAAAGTCATCTACAAATCCAAATGAGATTGGAATGACCGTATGGAAGAAGCTTTATGGGCATATAGGACTACTCATCGCCCGCCAACACAAGCGACTCCTTATTCACTCATTTATGGAGTCAAAGCCGTCTTGCCACTCGAGCATCAAATACCTTCATTACAACTGGCTATTCAAGAAGGGATCACTGATGAAGAAAATGCTTGACTTCGATTAGAAGAGTTGGAGGGTCCTGATGAGAAGAGGTTGGAAGCCCAACAGAGTCTTGAATGTTATCAAGCTCGATTGTCTCGCGCCTTCAATAAAAGAGTTCGCCCGAGATCCTTTCAAGTAGGGAATCAAGTCCTTGCCGTACGAAGACCCATAATTACTTCCCATAAACCTGTAGGGAAGTTCACTTCAAAATGGGATGGGACATATGTTGTACAAGAAGCTTATTCAAGTGGGGCTTACAAGCTAGTTGATGCAGATGGCATGAGAATCGACCCTATCAATGGCAAGTTTTTGAAGAAGTATTATCCTTGAAGTTGCAACGCTCCTTGACGCATGAGCATAAACTGCATGTTCCTACACTCCTGGCCCGCATGAGTCTAAACTGTGTACGGCCCACCCAAAAAAAAATGTTTGCTAGGTTGAAAACCTCGAAAGGGGCGGCCTAGGCAAAAGTTAGGACATAAAAAAAAGTCCGCTAGGTTGAAACCTCGAAAGGGGTGGCCTAAGCAAAAGTTAGGGCATAAAAAAATAAAAAAAAACATCCACCCATTCTGAACTACGGTATGACTTAATCCTCTTCACCGAGGTGCGTAGGCAGCTTAGAGTTTCATTCTGAGTTCAGATACATATTGCCCTAGTCGTTGTCCAAATGAAGTATGATGTAAGTAATTCATTCAAATAACACTTGAAAATCATGCTGAAATTTCATTCTTCTTTTGAACTTTGGACCTCATATGACTTAGAGGGGGCAAGCCTTCATGATAAATTAGTGTCTTAAATAGGGCGATTATAGTCTTTTAGGAGGTTACCAAGTATTTGCACTGAAGTTCAGGGATTTACTATGTCTTTATGTTCACCAAATCTTTAAGTCCTCCGGTCTTCAAATTTGATGCTCTTCAAGTTGAAATGTTTAAACCCTCCAAGTCTCCAAGTTGAAGTCTTCAAGTCCGTCGGTCTTCAAGTTGAACTCTCCAAGTTGAAATCTTCAAGTCCGTCGGTCTTCAAGTAGAAGTCTTCACGTTTGCCACTCTTCAAGTTGAAGTCTGCAAAGTCCGTCAAATCTTCAAAGTTTCCAAATATTCAAGTCTATATCGTCAGGTCCACGAAGTCTTCGAGTTGAAGCTTTATAATTTTCCAATCTTAAGGTGGATACATGAGTCCCTCTGCACCTTAAGTTGGCCTCTTCATGGGTTTGTCCTTAAAAGGAAACTATAACTTCCCAATCTTAAGGTAGACATATGAGTCCCTTTGCACCTTAAGTTGGCCTCTTCGTGGGTTTGTCCTTAAAAGGAAACTATAACTTTTTAATCTTAAGGTGGACATATGAGTCCATGTGTACCTTAAGTTGGCCTCTTCGTGGGTTTATCCTTAAAAGAGAACTATATTTTCCAATCTTAAGGTGGACATATAAGTCTCTTGAGAGTAATCTCTCTGATAGTCGAGCCGCATTGAGAGTAATCTCTCCGATAGTCGAGTCACCTTGAGAGTAATCTCTTCGATAATTGGGCCATGAGAGTAATCTCTCCGATATTCGGGCGAGGATGAGTACCCATCCCCTCACACCTCATGATTGTCTTCTTCATGCATGGATCATCTTGTTAAGCAAGAACATATCATCCTCGTTTACCTACAAAAAAAAAAGAGAAAGAAAGGACGACGGTAAATACATAGAAGGAAAAAATTACCTTCGGATTGCCTCCTTATGAAAACACGGAGCCAAGATAGCTTCTAGATGCTACAATTCAATGCTTAATGAAAATATGAGCATGGGTTTATATAGATCTCCTATGAAGATGATTGGGAGGTGAGGTCTCGATGTGGGATCGCCTGAAATCAGTTAACAAAAGGGATTTGAAATTTCTTAGGCGGCCGAAATAAGCAGTGTTGGACATGGAGTCAAAGTGTAGTCTTCAATATTAAATATTCATAGTTTCAATCCTAAAGAGATTTGGATACATGTACTACACTTATACTACACATAAGACAATAATGATTTTCAATTAAAAGAGAGATTTATTTTACCAAAAGGCAAAATGGAACGTTAGAGAGCAACTACACTATTCAACGTGACTGAAATTTGGAACTTTGGTGTTTAGTTTTATGTGAAAAGAAAGAGAAAAGGATGTTGCTTCATAATACTTCAAGCCTAGTCTTAATGCTTATACCTTGACAAGTCTTGAAGTATGGGGAATTTGTAGGTATATAAAATTTGAGAAATTAAATTCATAAATTAATTTGGACTATATTTTAAATTCAAGATATATTGGTCCAAATAAATATTATGGGCTAATATAATTGGATTAATTATATAAATCTAATATATATGGATTAAATAAATAAGTCTTGATCCATTGGGCTAGCCCATTTAATTGGGATAATGTGATGAGCCCACTTCATTAAGCCCAAGATGTCAGAGACCCAATTCGGTGCCACGTGTCATATGACATGGCACGCCAAGTCAAGTAAAAAGAGCCAATAGGATCATGCCACGTGTCAAAATAACAAGGCATGCCAAGTCACATTAAAAGGCCAATGAAATCGCGCCGCATGTGTAAGTGACATGTTCTGCCCAATCAAATGCGGCCATATTACACTTCAATTTGATTGGTCGGAAAGAGTTTGTTCTTATCACAACTCCTCCTTCCACAACTATAAATAGGGGTCTTCATAACCCAGAAAAGATACCAGAAGTTATAACAAGAAGCAAGAGAGAGCTCGTGGATCAAACGCCGTAAATTTCTCTACAAGTTTCAAGCTTCTAGCAATCAAGTTCAAGTTAAAAAAATCAAGTTCAAGCTCAAGAACGAAGAACAAATCAAAGTCAAGTTCAAGCAATCAAGCTCAAGCTCAAGAACAAGATTATCGTTCGTGGAAACAACTACATATTCAAGATCAAGCTCAAAGACCCTTGAATTTATTTACTATTGAAGAGAAGAATCAGAGGATTCATAGAGATTGTACACTCAAATATTTGAAATCAAATACTACGATTGTTGCGATATTTTCGGTCTTAATTTTATTTTTTCGATGCAAATTTATTGTCTACACTAATATTTTACCTTATACACAGTATAATTTTTCTGAGAAGAGTGTTCAATTGACCACTCATGGCCACACATAGCTTCGCCCCTGTTTGGATTAAAGATACTGAGTTCGACGAACCTATAATATGTGCTCTATCTCTGCCCCTGCTTGGATGGACGAGTGCGGAGATTGCGGAATATGGTCTGGGGACCCGACTTAGTACCTTTGCCCATCTCCGAGCCAATTTACAACTCGAATCATATGAATGGCACATAATTAATCTCTAAATTTTCCCATGAATGGTGATGGATTAATGGTACCATGCCTTTTGAGAAGAATTATACGGGTAGTGGCCTAAAACAGATAATATCACACCATAGTAAAAGTATTTTTGGATTATTTTAACGCAATAGGCCCTAAATATGAAAGAAATTCTAATTTGAAACGCTTTTAATGAGCCTTATGTAATACAAATTCATATTAAACAGGACTCCAAAACGAATATCAAATATCAAGTGAAAATAATAAATAAATAAATAAAAAAGAAACAAGGCCATTTAGTTTCTAAAGTTGTTTTGCATAAGGTTGTCCAACGGGACGGGTCGTCCCGTCCCGACCCACTTAAATCTAAACGGGATAGGCCCATGTTAAACGGTACACAGGATGGGACGGGATGCCCATTTCGTCTCATTTATCCTATCTCCGTCTCGTTCCGTCAAGCCTGTCCCGTCTGTCTCACGTGTTTTTTAAATATTATGGTATATTTGTGGAATTTCTATTGTATTTGGTAAGTATAAAACAAATCCAACCTATCAATAGCATCGGAGAGTGCTTTTAGCGTGGCAAGATTTCAAATCGGAGATCATAGACATTCATTAGTGGAGGACAACCTAGAGATTTCATTTTATTCAGAGATTGGATTAATTCAGAAAGAGAAAATCTTAGTTTTGAAAAATTAACCACCAGGGAAGAAGAAGAATACAATGAGATACTTAGCACTGGGAGCGATGACGACATAGAATTCATGGAACATCAATCAACATTGCCAATTCCAGAACAATGTCCGAGAGAAATTATAGATAAGTTACAACGAAGCTATATAAGAGCTTACAAATATTAGTATGATAATTTGTAATTGGCTACTAAAAAGCCTAGTTCAAACAGAACCCTTCCTAGAAGGTGGCTGCATATATTTGGTTCCTTTAAAAAAAAATTATATTTGTATGTGAAATTTGAAAGTTCTATTAATAAAAGAAAAGGCTCTAAGCCTTGAATTTTTTTTAAGAATTGTCTTACACTCTTACTTAGTTACTTAATGGCTTGAAATTATATTAAATAAATTACAACTCTATTATAATTACTAAAATATTTTATTACAAGTCTTTTGTTTTAATATTTTATAATTCTTTACTTATTTTCCTAATTTTCTTATAATTTATTAAGTTTAAGTTTATTAAATAAGTCAAAAAACTAGTTGTTGCAAACTTTAAAAATTTAGTCATTGTCAAAAAATTAGCCATTGCCAAACTTAATGCTTAAATAATTAATTTTTTTAAAAAAAACGGCTCACTTAAGGCCCGCGAAACCGTCTCATCCTGTCCCATTCCGTTTGTTAGCGGGATGGGATGGGCCTACCGTTTCGTCTCGTTTAGGCCCGTCCCGCCACCGTCCCGGCTAAATATCGTCCCGTCCCATCCCGTTCCGTTTATTTGGTCTTGTCCCGTCCCGTTGGACAGGCTTAGACTTTTGCATGATCTATATTATTGCCATTTGCCACTTCAAATAGTTGAAACATTGGCATTCGTTCAAGATTTTCTATAATCCCCTCACAAAAGTACACCATTGTTGTCAAATTGATGGGGATGCCAACTTTTTTCTTTCTTTCTTTTTTGGCCCTTATGTTCTCCTCTATGCTATTTGCTGTAGTTATGAAAAAAGAAATGCATTTATAAATAATAAATCAGTGCAATTAAATTAATAGGTGTACAATGGCTATTTGTATTATTTTTCAAGTTACTAACCGCCGTTAATATAAATAGAACTGTAATATTTAATTACCCTTTAAGTGCCTAGATAATTACTATAATGTATAATAATAATAATAATAATAATAATAATAATAATAATAATAATAATAATAATAATAATAATAATAATAATAATAATAATAATAATAACGCCTCAATCCCGAACAAGTTTGGTTTATTGTACAAACTCTCATGCACTAACCATGTTTATCCCTTTAAATTCGTCCAGGTTAACATTATGCAAAATAAAAATTAAAATAATTAGTATTACAATTGATTAACACGGTAATCTCACAAACTAAAGGTCCGCGGTTCTAACTTGAGATTAGGTATTTAACTCTGCCTGTGTGAGCTTATTCATATTACTTGTCGGTTGTCACAAAACTGGATAAAGGAGGAGGATTATTATAAGTTGGTAACCAACGTATAACAAATCAATTCATGATGAATTCTCGTAAATGACTAGATAACATATAATTATGCTGGTAAAAGCTTATCCCCACTCGGTGTTTACACTACATGTAAATATTACTAGATAACATATAATTATGTTGGTAAAATCTTACTCGCATTTGGTGTTTACACTGCAGGTAAATATTACTAGATAACGTATAATTATGCTGGTAAAAACTTACTTGCACTCGAAATTTACACTGCATGTAAATATTTACCATGAAGTGCTCCTTCACATATTGGCTATGTAAGGCTCAAAACATGGTCAACAAAGAGGAGAGATTTATGGGAAGATCTTAACAGTTTTGGAAATAGTCTACCATAAATTCAGATTTATTTTAGATCTTAACTAATATCCCAATAAATCAGTACACAACCAATAAAAATAAGTAAGAAAAACTATTTCACCACACTAGGCTTCAGCTTGTCTAAAGAATGAATCCCTTAGATTCTATTGTTGTAAGTTCATTTAATTTCTTGAAACTGATATTTTGTTACATATTTATGTTCCATTTTTTCCATTCTAATGTGTGTTTTTTTGGTTATTAAAAGGTGAAACGTATTGAAGAAAAAGAGAAGGTGAAAAAGAAGAGCATAATTAGACAGAAAACAGTATCAATATGCTGCAAAGGAAAGGGGCAATTTGTGCCAATGAAAGTGGAAATTCAAGAAACTTCATCTAAAAATTCACTCTTGGATCGTCTTACTTATCTCGAGACTCGACTTTTTCAGGTTAAATTGTTTTTCCAAATTATTTAAAGGAGTAATAACATAAAACTCATATAGATTGTATATCTATACATTGATGGTTTAAAAGAATTTTAGACTATAAAATCACTTCTGAGATAATTTTAGGTTAATTACCATTTATAGTAAGTAGTATTAGTCACCTAAAAGACAAGGTAAGTAACATGTTACGACAGGTTAAAAAAGATGATAATACGAAAATTCTTTACACTATATATGTTAGTTAAATATTCATGTGATGACTATTTATTAAGGGGTCTTTACACAAATAGACAGCTAGATTTACGATTTACTTTCCTATTCGATATACATAAATTACTTACAAATTATAAATGATTACATACATATTCAACACTAATTATACATATATTACATATTCACTACCTATTTTTTTGTTTAAGTTATTGGATCAGCAGCTATTTAAAACGAATTCTTCATTTGTTAATGCAGCTATGCCTGGAAATTGAAGCTGCAAAAACATCATGCTCTTCAAATATACAGACTCCATTTACAGAAAGATCCAGAAATGATACCAAGAAACAAACAGATTGGAATTCTTATCCAACTTTTGATTATCCAAAACCTCCCTGCAAGTCACAATCTCAACTCTGCCTCAACGAGTGTGAATCCTCACAGGTACTGTTTTGTCAAAGCCATTTTAATTTAGTTCAGAGGCGGAGTCAGAAATTTTAGTTTATACGTTTTGGATCACAATTATTTTCGCTTACTCGGTTCTGAATATGATTATCTATACATATTAAATAAACTTTTAGCTAAAGCTATTGGGTTTTATCAAACTTGTAACTATTAACCCTAATTTAACTCACTACTAAAAAATATAAAAATTAGCGACGGGCAAATTCTATAGCTAAACAGAAAAATTCATCGCTAAACCTATTTAGCAACATATTAGTAAAAAACTATCAAGAAATTCTATTAGCTACGATCAATTTACCGACAGATTAACGATGAAGTTCGTAGCTTATAAAGAAATTTTTATGTTACCAATGCAATTTAACTGATTATTATAAATTTTTATTGGCTATGATCGATTAACTTAACCTGATAATATAAAAATTCTTTATAATATCAGTTACAAAACATAAACTATTTATTTTACTATTTGACAATGCGGATCTATATATCTTGCAATGGAGTTCGTTTAACCTTAATCATCTTGTCAAGAATTAAGTACTTCTCTTCAAAACCATTAATTGAATCTGAGAACAGAGGTATAAAATCAATTTTTTGACTTATAAAATATAATCCGTCCTCTAATTAATCTACACTATCAGTATTTTAATATGTTGTATAGGTGTGCCTTTATATGTTACTAATCTCATTTTTTATGGACAATTACCTATAGAGATATTTTAGGTGACATAATAAAATATTTTACACTGCCAATATATAAAAGTCAAAACCCATAAATTTATGCTTTAAAAGTTTTTTTTTTTTTTTTTTTTTTTTTTTTTNTTGGGTTGACTCAAACTCACAACCTCTTGGTTGAAAGTGGAGGGTTCTCACCACTAGAGCAACCCACTCTTGTTAAGAAAAAATGGCACCACATGACATAAATTGTATGTTGGTTATGTGCTTGATTTTGCTCTAAGAGGTCAAGGGTTCAAACCTCAACTAAAGGTTTTTTTTTTTTTTTTTTTTTTTTTTTTTTTTTGCAGAACAAATCTCATAGGATGGCACAAGATTTGGAGCAACCATCTAGCATGAAGAAGGAGTTGCATTTTGGGAGAAGCAAAAGTACTAAGGATGGAAAAAATACAAGTAAAAATGGGAAGAAAAACTTAAAAGCAAGTTGGCCACATTTGAGGATCTTAGGTTGCTAATATATTGCTAGCTGCTCTTTGTTTTTTTTCGACTAGTTTGTGCGCACTTCAATTAATTTCATCGAGTATTCGTTATCTCTCACAACACAAGCATCGAGTAACTTTGCTTATCAAGATTCGGATATATGAGAATAAATTACCTAGTGTTTTTCTAGACACTCCTTTTATTTGTCTTATCTTTTGACTATCACTTTTAATCGTTTTCAAAAAATTTACTGCATGCTTTTTTAGCTTCATTTTGATGTTGTCGTCGAGGAAGAAACACTTATCAGATATGTATCATTTACTTCTCCGACTTAATAAACGTTTCAGCCCCGAAATTGTTTTTTTTTATTTATATATAACTCATATATAGGATGACATTACGCCCAAACAAATAAGTTATTCTTTTATTTTCAATTATATATAAGAGACACTACGTATAGCTTTTCGTTTTTTCAAAAAATAGATAATAATAATAATAATAATAATAATAATAATAATAATAATAATAATAATAATAATAATAATAATAATAATAATAATAATAAGATAAATCGGTCAATTGGTGAGAGTTACAAAGCTTTGGCTAACGTACACACAAGATAATGGAGATACATCCCATGCTATAGATAATCGAAATATGCCATACACTAAATATTTGCATATGCCATACCAGTGGCGGACCCAAATGGTGGATAGCGGGTTCAACTGAATCCGCTTCACAAAAAATAATATTGTGTATATGTATAAATTAAGATTAAAGCTGTGTAAATTTTGCATAAATATTTTATTTGAACCCACTTGATAACTACTATTTTACTACTAAATTTATATACTTCTAAGATTGAACTCACTTGCACAAAATCCTCGGTCCGCCACTGTGCCATACTTGTATCTTTCAAGTTTTCGCTCAAAAAACCTCAATTATAGTTTTGTGTCTGAATACAACTTCAAACTTTTGACTACTCTTTTTCACTTTAATTTATCTTTTATACAAATATTTACTATTACATATCCAAACGCCTACTAAAAAGCACGGTTAGAGGGTAGAAAAAAAAAAAAAAAAATAACCTCACAAGCCTAGGCTGGACGCATGGGCCTACCTCCATCCCTAGAGGAGTCGTATGAGGCAGAAGCTCCACGAACGATTTTGAAGTCGAACCTGTCGAGCAATGGGTCTAGGGACCAATATAATGATTGGTTTTAGGTAGGGAGGCCGACCTACTACAAGCACCTTTAAGGATCAGTGTGTTGGACAACAATTCAAAAATTAACGCAACAGATATTAATTAACAAGGAAACAAATTATAATGCTCGTCTTCAACTTAAGGCGAAATACATTAACGGGCCGTTAAATTTTGCCCGTTTATTTCATTTAGACAACTTGAAAGACAAAGACAAAGTATTAACAAAGAGAAATAAAAATTTTTGATGGGGTGAGAGAGTATAATGATTGGTTTTAGGTACGGCGGCCGACCTACTACGGGCACCTGTAAGGATCAGTGTGTAGGACCGCAATCCACAAATTGATGCAACAAATATTAATTAACAAGGAAAAAATTATAGTGCTCGTCTTTAACTTAAGGTGAAATACATACACGGGCTGTTAAATTTAGCTCATTTATTTCATTTAGACAACTTGAAAGACAAAGACAAAGCATTAACAAAGAGAAAAAAAAATTTGATGGGGTGAGAGAGTATAATGATTGGTTTTAGGTAGGACAGCCAACCTACTAAGGGCACCTGTAAGGATCAGCGTGTAGGACCGCAATCCTCAAATTGATGCAACATATATTAATTAACAAGGAAAAAAATTATAGTGCTCGTCTTCAACTTAAGGCGAAATACATACACGAGCTGTTAAATTTTGCTCGTTTATTTCATCTAGACAACTTGAAAAACAAAGACAAAGTATTAACAAAGAGAAATAAAAAATCTGAAAGGGGTGAGAGAGTATAATGATTGGTTTTAGGTAGTGTCACGACCCAAAAATCCTAACCTGTCGTGATGGCGCCTATCTCATTACTAGGCAAGCCGACAACATCAATAACCCATGATTTTCTTTAAATTTAAAAACGTAATGTTTAATACAATACCAAAAATCTAGCAATTTCCGATACAACACTCCTAAAACCTGGTGTCACTGAGTACATGAGCATCTAATATGAGTACAAGTCTGAAAAATATGGTCTATAATAGTTTGAGACCAAATACAGTATACAAGAATATAGAGAAGGAGAGACAAGGTATGCGGAACACGGCAGCTACCTCAAAATCTCCTGAAAATCAACTGCGCAAAATGATCAACACCCACTATGTCCGGAAATACCTGGATCTGCACACGAAGTGCAGGATGTAGTATGAGTACAACCAATTCATCAAGTAACAAAAATAACTAAGGAACTAAAGATAATGACGAGCTACACAGTTATAGTTCACTTTCAGTAATCCCAGCAAAGAATAGGCATGCTTTCGAATCCGGCAGTTTAAGTCAAATAACTTTTATACAGTTCAATTTCAAGTAATCCGGATATAAATTCTTTTAGAGATTTCACAACAATGACAGATAGCAACCAAGTGCAACAATAAATGCAAAGCAAGTACAGCCTCTCATGCAACAGTCACACAACTCATCACAACAGCTCAACCACTCAGCTCTCAGCCCTCAACACTCACACTCAATGGTACCCGCGCTCACTGAGGGTGTGTACAGACTCCGGAGTGGCTCTTACAGTCCAAGCACCATAATCTGCAAGGACAACTCACGTACTATAATATCCTGCACGGACAACTCACGTGCCATAATATCCTTACCTCACTAACAAGCCCTCGTCCTTACTCAGTCCTTCACCTCTCTAGTCTCTCGGGCTCTCAGAAATCACAAAGATCAGCCCAAACAAAGATAACATAGTGCATCAACAAATATCAAGAAAGACTGAGGTATGATTCGCTAATAAAATCAAGACTGAGCACAAGATATCAATTAGCAAATAATTCAACAAGTTTGTGACCTCTGTGGGTCCCAACAGTACTATCACATAGCCTAAGCATGATTTTTAATATAATTTAGAGTCGAATTTCTTCAACACAAAGAGAGCTTATAGCTAACAACAGGTTAATCAACTTTACAGTTTTACGGGACGGACCAAGTCACAATCCCTTCGGTGCACGCCCACACGCCCGTCACCTAGCATGTGCGTCAACTCCAAAATAATCACATGACATAAAATCCGGGGTTTCATACCCTCAGGACCAGATTTATAATTGTTACTTACCTCAACCCGTATAATTATTTATTCCTCTATGCCCTTGCCATGAGAATTGATCTCCGAAAGCCTCGTATCTAGCCACAATTAATTCGAATCAGTCAATACAAATTATTGTAATTAATTCCATAAGGAAATACTAATATTTCCAATGAAATCCGAAATTAACTTCAAAAATCTCCCGTAGGGCCCACATCTCGGAACCCGACAAAAGTTATAGAATATGAACGTCCATCCAACCACGAGTCCAACCATATAAATTTCACCAAAATCCGACACCAACTCGACCCTCAAATCTTCAATTAAAGTTTATGAAGATCTCTACCATTTTCAACCCAATCCTTACCCATTTGAACCTAACAATCTTTCAACAACCTTATTGGTATGTATACATGATACTCTACACCCAAGAATAATACTATTAATCATCCATCTTTACTCCAAACCCGAAATTGAAGAATTAGGGAAAGCAATTCTTACCTCTTTGAAGCCCTAGCAAGATCCTTGTGAAATCTTCAAACCTTGAACAAGAATTGATGGATAAATGACTAAGTCTTTACTTTCTCTCTCTAAAATGCTCTCACCTCTCTCTAAAATATCAGATTTTGGCTCAAAAATGAGCTTCAAGGGCTATAAATCGAAGTTGGGTCGGGTCAAAAATTAGAAAGAATGGAAGCTCCGACGCAGTTATGCGGTCCGCATATCAACCGCATAATTTGGCCTCCAAAGCTGGGCATTACTGACTTGTTCTGCAGTTATTATGCGGTCCGCATACTTGTTCTGCGGTCGCATAATGCACTACAAAACAGGTCTGCGGTCGCATAGTGCACCGCAGATTTTCCTCAAATCTTGCCCTCCTCCTGCTCCACTTTGCAACCATTATGCGGTCCGCAAAGTGATTCTGCGACCGCATAGTGGTCGCAGAAATGACCATTTTTCGACAAAATTTTCCTTTACACATCGGTTCATTGTTCAACCCAAAAAGTCCGAGCCTTAATTTTTGTACTAAGTGATCTACCTCGGCATCACCAAGCCTTAATTTCCTTAGCAAACTTTTTCCGAGGTCGTTACACATAAGTTAACATCCGGTCAACCTTTTCAACTTAAATTCTAAACCTTGGAACTAAGCGCTCCAAATCAATTCAAAACCTCACTGAGCCCAAGCCAATTACCCTGGCAAGTCAAATAACAACTGTAATTCATAATTTGAGCAGTAAATGGAAAAACGGGATTGCAATAGTCAAAACGACCGGCCGAGTCGTTACAGGTAGGTAGGGCGTCCGACCAACTACGGGAACTTGTAAGGATAAGTGTGTGGGACCGCAATTCACAGATTGACGCAACAGATATTAATTAACAAGGAAAAATGTTATAGTGCCCGTCTTCAATTTACAGTTTGTTTGGATGGTTGTTACCTATTGTATCGTATTGTATTCTTATCCCAAAACATGGTTTGTTTTGATTGTTTATTTAAAATTAATTGTATTGTATTGTTAAATCTATTATTCCGGAACAATAAAAAGCTTCATTTTTTGAAACAACCAAATCAGTGTGATGAGATTATTTTATATTTTTCTTTCCAATTATGCCCTTATTAATTGTTCCATAATTATATTTTGCCCTTTATCCAATTTTATATTTACTCCACCCAAATATATATACATCGTTCTCGCTCCAAGTTGTGGTTCGTTCTTAACCTTGGAAGCGACTAAAATACCGTCAGTGACTTGCAAATATCTATCACATGTTAGTTATCAAGTTATTTTTTCTCTATTTAGGGGTCACATTATATTTATACTTTCATATACAAATTTGTTTTTGTTGTTCCTGTCTCCAAACTGTTTATGCTATAATTAAAATTTATGTTGATCATATTTTATTTATTAAAAATGTAATGACTCGGCGGGTCATTTTGAGTATTACAACCCTGTTCCTCATTTACTGCTCAATTTGTGCTTTATAGTTGTTATGAGACTTGTCGGGGTAATTAGTTCGGGTGCGGTGA